TTTAAATAAAAAAGCTATTTTTAAAGTTTTACGTGTCAATCTGGAAGGCAGCAAAGAATTTTTAACCTATTTTACGACTTTTAGCTGAAAATGAGCTCGCTAGTCAAAATGGACCGGTTCTCAACCTTTGGGAAAACCCAATTTCTCAACCTCTACGAGAGACCAACTCCTACAAGAGCTTGTACACGGAAAAACAAGGAAATATCTTTTCTAAAAATGCCCTCTATCATGATAATTGCTTTTCTTGGAGTCCAAGAGAGTTTAGCTATTTACAAAAGGTCATTGAGCACAAGAGAAACGAATAAAACGACTTGCCAGGTGTACAGGTGAAACCTTGCCATTTTTACGAGAAAATTCATTTCCATTGGCTATTCTGGAAGGCATTTCGTTCATTGAGAAAGTTGTTTTTAGGCAAAGGTGCAATTTGAGTTTTTTTGGCTTTGCACAGGCTCGACTTTGATCCTGTTTCGAGCTTGTACTGTCACATTTCTCAGTCCGAAATAGTTTCATTCTTCAATCTGGATCTCAGTTCATCTCATTTCATCGAAATTTTGTTGAACTTTTTGTTTTTTCCAAGGTGACCACTCCCTCGCTCTGACTTCAACCCCATTGCTTTCTTGTACCACCATATTTTAGCCCAAAACTCTCCCATTTTTCAATCTGGACCTCACCTTGCCTCATCATCGCAAAATTTCGTGAAAACCATGCTTTTTACCATCTCAGTCAAAACCAGCGTCACCGCTTATCCAATTTGGTCGCTAATTAGCACCACTAAGTGAATTTTTGCCAACTTCGAGGGGATTTCACGAATTTTTCTCTTTCATGCACTTCAAATCTTTGAAATATTTGATAAAAATTTAGGATTTATCGTAAATTGAGCGAAAAATGACTTGGTGCCAATTTTCAGGAAATTTTTGTCACTTTCTTGATTCATTCCCCGTTTCTTGCTCGTTTCTTGTAGTTTTCTTGCTAATTTTGTCGGGTGACTGGAGAATTTTCGGCAAATTTGTGGTGATCTCATTGGGAAAACGAAAAAAACGCCGGAATTGTCGTTTTATGAAGAAATTAAGAAAGAGAGACCGAGTGAACCAAAAATCGCTCACCCACTAGGCGGTTTTACTAATTTTTGCCATTTTTGTGAGTCAAACAGCTTTTTTCCCGGCGAGATTTGTGAAATTTCACCGAATTCGCCGAAATCGCAATGACGATGAAAAAACGAGTAGATTAAGGGAAAATTTTGTCTTTTCGGGTAAATGAATCTACCCAAGAATCCGGGAAAACAAACCGTGGCTGCGTAACTGAACCGAGGCAATTTACAACAATATTTTCAGAAAATATTGTGTTTTTTTGTGGGAGTTGTTGATCCTGGAACGCATTGAGCTGAATTCATTCGAAAAGTCCTAGAAAGGATCTAAAGAAATTTCGGCTAAATGGGGTAACTAAACCGGGGTGAATTTGTGCAAAAATTTATAGTTCTTTTTAAAACTTTTGAGAAAATAGTCGGTCCTGGGAGGCACTGGGGTGATTGAATTCAAAAAATTCGAAAAAAATAACATTTACGAATGTTAGGTTACTGAACCAACTTTGACAGTCGGGTAACTAAACCGACCGTAACTTCTCCCTTCCTGGATCATTGAGTTTAATTTTATCTGTTTTGAGTCAAATTTCTGAAATCTCTTTCTTAATTTTATATTCTTCACGTGGTTTTTTTTCTTTTCCCCACCCGTTTGTTGGGTAAATAAACCGGGGTCAAAGACGAAAACTCATTTTGTCGAATTTCTTTCACTTTCTTCGCCAAAGTTTCATTGTGTTTTCCAGATTGGCGAAATGAGAAAGAAAAGTGGATGGGTTTCCATGGTAAACCCGAGAAAAACGCCTGAAGTCATTTGGCCATTTGCCCAGCCGGGTCAAGGGATTCAATTAAATTAAGGGCTTAATTTTTGCTCTTCCGGAACGCACAAAAAAGTTTGCGTGAAGTAGATTTTTTGGAAAACTGAGAAATATTTTACGCCAAAAACTAGTTTAAAAGTTTGAGGCCAAATCTTGGTTAGTTTTGAAGATTAAGACTTTCTTCGCTAAAATTTGGCCCTCCTGGAGCGCACAGAAATACCGAGGGCTTCAAAGTCTCATTTTTCCATTGCAAAACCGGATCTCTGACCGCTTCATGTCTATTTTTGCCCTTCACTTCTCATTTCTCCTACTCGATTCGCGTGCAGAAACTATTTTCACCCTTTCAAGTATAGTTGTGTGGAAAAAGATTGAAGATCCCCTTCTCCTCACTTGAGATCACGTTTTTCCTTCCATTCCTTTTCATTAAACCCTTGAAAATCGGGTTTTCTTTGGTTTCAAACGACTTGTAAGGTTTTCCACTAAAATTTGACACGGAATCTCAGTTTTTCGATGATTTTTGTCGATCCTAGTTTCAATGGCAAATCTAATAAGGAAAATACAACAACTTTTTTCACTCGCTTCTTAAGAGTATAAAATTGGTAAAAAAGTAAGTGTCCATATAATTTTGTGGAGCCGGGTAAATCTAAACTTGTGCAATTTACTTTCAAAACTGAGACATTAACACATCTCATTTATTTACGATCTCAGCATGACCTCACCGTTACCGGTCTCCTCGCCACCTTGGGCAGCTACATGGCCGTGCCGAGGCGTTTCCTTCGCTACACCGTTTGTGCGACTTTCGAATTGTGGCTGAGAGATGGGGAACCGTATGTGAAAGTGGATTGAATGAAAAAATGGCATTGACACTATAGTTAACTACGTTTCTTTACCCACAAAGTCACCACCAGAGATAAGAACAAAAATAACTCAAGTCTACATTTAATTGCAAAACTAAGCAAAAGAACCCAAAAGTAGGGCTATGAACAAGGAATTCAAATCGATTCTAAAACAAGAAGTAAACAAGCAAAAAAGGGCACAAAAATCTTTTAAGGTTGACTTTTAATAGCTACCGTAATCTATCAGGTTTACCGTATCAAAACAACGCTTTAGCGAACAGTGGTTTAGCGAACAAAATTTAGGCAAAAAGCAGGATTAGAACGACTTTAAGCTCTTTCAACTGTATATAGGATACGTAATTTTATATCATTTCCCATATTTAGATTCTTTTCCGGCCGACCCGTTAGAGCTCTTTCCACACGTTCACCCAATTCACCACTGGTTGTCCGCCCGGTTGTCCGCGGAAATTTATTGATTTTTCACAGGAAAATCTACAATATGAAGAAACTGACAAATTTTGGTTTTATCCTCATTTACATTTTGTCCTCTGGACGCTCGTCGAGCCATTTCTTGAGCGCCGGATGAGAGTAGACTTTCTCTTGATAGTCGGCCAGCTAAAATTTTTGAATTTAATTGAATTTGCACATAATTTATACCTAAAATTTAGATATTTTTAATGAAAATAAAAGGAACTTCTTCTATCTTGAATCTTGCACAAAAATTATGTACTTCACCAACTACTGCAGAATTTTCAGCTTGACAGTTTAAAGAGACTCTGGATTTAACTCTTCAGTCAATTCACTGAGAACTTTTCTAAAGTAGACATTCGAATGTCTACTGAACTGTCTACTGTCTACTGTCGAATGTCTATTTAGACAGACGTTAGACACAGAAGACAGCTACGATAAACACCGGACAATTATCTAAAAATATACAATATCTCAACATTGCTCAATATGACTGTAATGTAATCTCAATATCCAGCACAAGAAAATCATCGCGTATCATAGATACCATAATAGATCATATTGAGTTATCCACAAGTGAGTATATCTTCAGTGTATAACAAGTTCCTGATCATCTATGTTCGCACTCACACATTGAGAGAAGTATCACTCATCTTACCTCTTTATAATGTTTAGCAAACACCTTTTCTTGTTTTAGACATCACTTATGACTCATGTCATACCGATACCGATAATGCACATTTTCAGATGCGCTACCGATACCAATTTTCAAAGCAATCGGATCACGAAGAGTTGGACTTACCTTAGTACCAATATTACCTCTGTAACACGGGTATTACTGTAACTCCGGACTTTGTAGCGTCAGAAAAGCAGCTCTGATCTGGAAAAAGCCGAAAAACTGGAAATCTGTACTCATTTCTGGTTACAAATTCCAAATCTCCATTTCATTAAAATATCTAGGATTTTGACTAAATTCTCAATGGATGCACTGGATCCTAATGAATTCAATAATATTTTTTTCTTATTAAGTTTTTTCTAAGAACCCAGTCTTTTACCCTCGAAAATTCCGGAGTTTTGCGGAAAAATACACAGAAAGTGTCATTGAAAGAAAGCCTGAGCTTTTTGAGTAAAGCCATAGCCAGTCACTGAAACTATTTACAAAAGCAATACTACATTATGTCATTGTATTTTGCGGCAACGCATTCAGGCAGACGCTCTGATTTCCGTATCGATTTATTCGGAGAATTTCACCGGCTCTTTGCAGAGAATTTGAGTTGTCGAGCTTCAGAATCTAGAAATTTTGCTTCAAAAGATGAACTTTTTGCTTCAAAATTTGGCTCAAAAACTAGCCGTGCTGAACTCCCCGTTACTCGGTTTCATTTTGAAAACAGCTTCGAAAGTTCTCGTTTTCTCAAACGGCACAAAATCAAGCAATTTGATCTAAAAGTTTTTTTTCACGCAATGGTGGGCCACGTACCGTATCCAGTGTCAACGTGTGACACTGGATCAGTTTATTTAACTCAAACGTTGCTATACCTCCAGCGGCTTTCCCCAGATTTTGTCCACTGAAATTTGATGTTTTCTTTGAAAATTACAATTTCCTACGTAATCTCGTTTTTTCATATTCACAGAGACAATATGACGTGTCGATTGGGATATTTCGACACGTTCTTTTCTGATATTTCTCACTGAACGGCCTCAACAGAGGTCCCCGTTATTCTCGATT